TCTCGGCCTTTTGGTCCTCCCAGGATAGAGAGGCTGCGGCTGGAGGCGCGGAAGCAGGAGCGGCTGCAGGCCGAGGAGAAGGCCCGTCAGGCCCGAGAGACTCAGGCCTGGGTGCAGCTCAAGGAGCAGGAAGTGCTGCAGCTGCAGGTAGGTCGGGTCTCCACGGGGTGGGCGCCGTAGGCCGGGAGCTCAGCGTGGGAGGCCGTCAGAGCCCTGGGTGCAGCGCAGTGGGGCACCGGCTCCGTGCAGATAGAGAGGGCAGCCTTGAGAGAGTTAGGTGGCGAGGGTTTGGGAGAGGAGGGCAGCACAAGGACCTGGAGGTGAGAGTTGACTTTGTAAGGTGTTCAGGTAGCTAGTGGATAATAAGCTGGTGTCTGAAGGAGGGACCGTGCAGTCCACTTATGGGTGATAAGTCTCTGTAGGGTTAAATGTTTGGGATAGGTTGGCAGGAGTGATCCAGCAAGAGTGGATGAGGCATGAATTAAAGTCGTAGGAGGAGGAGGAGTTTGAGAGAGTTTAAGAGGTAACATTGCCGCAGCTGGTGTGCTGTGGTTCTGGCAGAGCTGTCCAGTGGGTGATTAAGAAAGAAGAATGTGACAAGGCTGCTGGAAGGTCAGCAGGGCCTCAAAGAGGACCTGGGCTCCAAGCATTTCCCAGGGAAGAGCTGGAGCCTCTCTCTCGGTGGGCTAAAGGCCAACAGGCAGTGTGGGCAGATTGGCATGTGCTGGGGGCTCCCATTCAGCTGGCCTCTCTCCCAACAGGAGGATGCAAAAAACTTCATTACCCGAGAGAACCTGGATGCTCGGATAGAAGCAGCATTGGACTCCCCGAAGAGCTACAACTGGGCCATCACCAGAGAGGGGCTGGTGGTCAGGCCACAGCACAAGGGCTCCTAAGGGCCCAGTAAGGACAGTACCTGCCCAGGGACTATGTGTGTATTAGGGGTATGAGGGTTGGGTCTGACTTGGAATAAAACAGTGGTGTTTCTTATGAAGAAGGAAGCTCAGCCTATTCCAGTTTGCCCCTTATGTTTTGGCCTCTGCACCTACCACTTGATCAGAAACTCCCACACTCAGTGCCCTTTTCTGGCCCATGTACAACTCTCAGCACAGCACCAGACCCTAGAGGTTTCCATCTTACAGAGGAGTAGCCTGGACTGTAGTCATGAGGTCATCTCCTGGGTATTGTCAAGTGTGGTCAGTGGTTGGCAAATTATAGTCCATGGGCCAGATCTGGCCTACTACCTGTTTTTGTAAATAAAGTTTTATTGGAATACAGCCACACCTGTTCATTGACTGCTTGGACGCTACAATGGCAGAGATGATTAGTTGCAACAGGAACCGTATATGACTTGCAAAATCTAAAATATTTGTTATATGACTTTTACGGAAGAAGTTTGCTGATCTCTGATCTAAGCAGGGCTTCTTTGGCTTTTAGAAACATTACCGGAAAGAAAGGAGCCTAGGAGGCACTGCTTTGGCTCGCTGAGAAATAAAAGTCACAGTGACAGAAGTGAGCCAAGGCAGGACTGCTATTGGCTTACTGAAGAGTCAGAAAAAAGGGGTTCTTGGAGATAGGCTCAGGATTAGCCTGGGACCAGCTGCCTCTGCCTGTTGCTCCCCCAGTTGCAAGTCTCCTGGGGACTGTCCGGTTTAGGAGATGCAGAGAGTGCAGATGGGTGGGGGCATGCTCCCCAGAGAGAGAAGGCGCCCATATTTCACACTTCCTGTTTTCCTTCTAAATACTAGCTACTGAGGAAGAGAGATGGTCCGGGAGTGGGATTTTGTGTCTGGAAAATTCATAACTGAGGCATAAACGTCGACTGTGTCTACCACACCTTTGCCTGTCACTGCCTGCGCCCAGAAGCACGGGTGCTGGCTGACCCACTGCTGCTGTGGGAACAGTAGGGCCCCTGCAGGAACCCAGGAGCCACACTTACCCTCCACTGCTGCTGCCGCTGCCCCTGCCACTGTCAGAGGTCCCCAGAAACAGAAGGATCTGAGGATTCGTCCTTCCTCTGGCCTTAACAACAAACCCCTTGCCCATGCCTGACTCCTAGGCTATTGCCATAGTGGAAGCCAATTGCAGGAAGTCTGGGAAATATGGTGTGTAGGCCTCCAGCCTCCTATGGACCTGAGGGCTTTGGATGAACAACTGGTATAAACCAATTTTTTAGAAGCACTGTTTCTCACAATTTACAGCATTTAGAATGGGATAGATAGAATTGTTTTATGGGGACTTTTTAAAATAAGGTGAAATGAAATTTGAGACTAATATTTTGACAGTTAGGAATTTATACTTTCTAAAATTCTGCAAAAGTATAACTATAAACATAGCATATCACTGGCATGTAGTTTAACTTGAAACATTCTGATACTTTTAAATGTAATTTTGTCTAAAAACAAATATAGTTTAATCCCAACTTTTAATAATAGATAAATTGTATTTGTAAAGTAGGGTTTCATGTAAAATATCTCCATGTTAACATTTGGCAAAAGTCACCGTTAAAATATATATATATTTGAAAACAGCAGTTTATAAGGTGTTCTACATCCCTTTTATCACCGTTTATCAAGATTGTAACATCCTTGTGTGAGACACACAGTGTTTTCCTCTGAAGGTTTTATTACTGTGACATTCAGCACCCAGATAAAAATTAAAACAACAGATTTCCAGGATTTTAGTTCCTTCCTGACCTGGTGACATGTAAGTTTGTGTTTGTTGTTGTTGTTTTTTAATCCTCACATGAGGATATCGTTTCCATTGCTTTTCAGAGAGAGTGGAAGGGAGAGAGGGAGAGAGAGAGAAACATCGACTTCAGAGAGACACAGCAATTGGTTGCCTCCTTCACGCTCCCTGACCGAGGCTGGGGATCAAGCCTGCAACCGAGGTACTTGTCCTTGGTCCGAATCAAACCCTGGATCCTTCAGTCCAAGGGCTGACGCTCTAACCATTGAGCCAAACCGGCCAGGGTCTGTGTTTGTTTTTGGATGCTCTTTGCAAGTATACTAACTTCTCTTATGGGGGAATCCGATTTGGGGGTGACAAGCTGACTAAGTCGTCCCTCATGGCTTCCTGGACCCGTTTGTGGATTTATTATAGAAATAAAATAAGACCTTGTAAAAAAGTCTCCGAGAGAGATGGGAGTGTTTGCATGATTGCCCCACTCACTGCTTCACTCCAGAAATCCACAGGAATAAACTGAAGGTAGAGAAAGCACCTCGGTTAGTGGTTAGAAGCCTGGTGCCATCTGCCTGGGTTTGAATCCCAGCTTCCCATTCTTCCTTTTTTAATTTTTTATTTTTTATTTTTCAATTACAGTTTACATTCAGTATTATGTTGTATTAATTTTATATGGACTGCATAGTGGTTAGACAATCATAGTTTACACAGTGGTTCCTCCCCCCCCCAGTATTTCAAGTACCCCCCTGGCACCGTACATAGTTATTACGATATTTTTTACTGTATGCCCTACGCTGTACTTGACATCCTCGAGACTGTTTTGTGACTACCAGTTTGTAGTTCTTAATCCCTTCTCCTTTTTCACCTAGTTCCCCAAAACCCTCCCCTCTGGCAACCATGGGTTTGTTCTCTATGAGCCTGTTTCTATTTTGTTTGTTCATCCATTTTGCTCTTTAGATTATACATATAAGTGAGTTATATGGTATTTGTCTTTCTGTCTGCCTTATTTCACATGGCATAATACCCTCTAGGTTCATCCATGCTTTCACAAATGGTAACATTTTATTCCTTTTTTTTAAAATATATCTTTATTGATTTCAGAGAGAGGAAAGGAGAGGGGGAGAGAGAGAAACATCATTGATGAGAGAGTCATTGATTGGCTGCCTCCTGCACGCCCCCTACTGGGCATCGAGCCCGCAACCCGGGCATATGCCCTGACTGGGAATCGAACCTCGATCTCCTGGATCCTAGGTCGATGCTCAACTGCTGAGCCACGCCTGGCCGGGCCATTTTATTCTTTTTTTATGGCCAAGTAATATTCCATTATGTATATATCACAACTTTTTTATCCCTTCATCTGTTGGTGGGCACTTGACCTGCTTCCATGTCTATGCTATTGTAAATAATGCAATAAATATAGGGGTGCATATATTCTTTAGAATTAGTGTTTGGGGTTTCTTCAGATATATACCTGGAAGTGGAATTGCTGGGTCATAAGCCAATGCCATTAAAAAATTTTTAGGACTCTCCACACTGTTTTCCACAGTGGCTGCACCAGTCTGCATTCCCACCAACAGTGCACTCCCCTCTTCTTGAGTATCCTTGGGAATATTCCTTAGTCTGTCTGTGCCTTGGTTTTCTCCAAAGTAAAATAGATAAAATACTGGTATCAAGCTCTGAGATTGTTGTGGTGATTAAGTGAGACATTCATGTAAAGTTGAGTTCAGTGCCTGGGAAAGAGTAAAGTGTTCAATACATGTTAAATGCTGCCACTATTATTACATTATTATTATTATTATTATTTTAATGAAACTAGAGAATGGCCTCAAACTCATACCAGGGACTGAGTTATGTGCCAAATACAGCCAAATTGATAATGAATTGCTGGAGGCCAAGATCTGCCCTGCAGCTCCCCTTAACTCCAGCAGAGGGCAGTCTCCTCAAGACATGACAGGGCCTTCCAAAAACGTAAAATACAAGATCAGTAAATTTGACTAGAGTAGTCCCTCTTTATCCAGAAATATATTGTAAGACCCCTTGTGGATGCCACCAAACCCTATATACACTATGTTTTCTTCATATACATACATACCTTTCCCATTAAAGGAAGCACTTTATGGCTTCTCTCTGGCTTATCTGAACAGCCTGCATAACTACTCTTGTGCTTTGCAGCCGTTATTATTTTTTAAAATATATCTTTATTGATTTCAGAGAGGAAGGGAGAAGGAGAGAAAGAGAGAGAAAAACATTAATGATGAGTCATTGATGGGCCGCCTCCTGCACGCCCCCCACCGGGGATCGAGCCCGAACCCCGGGCTTGTGCCCTGACCAGGAATCTAACTGCCATCTCCTGGGTCCCAGGTTGATGCTCAACCATTGAGCCCCGCAGGCCGGGCTTGGGGCCATTATTAAGTAAAATAGGGGTTACTTGAACACAAGCACTGTGATACCACGGCAGTTGATCTGGTAACCCAGACCAGTACTAAGTGAGAAACAGTGGGCAGCATGTACAGCATGGAAATGCTGGAAAGAGGGATGGTGCACGGCCCGGAAAGAGCAGAGCAGGCTGGCAAGAGATTTCATCATTCTGCTCAGAACAACACACAATTAAAAACTTAGGAATTGTTTATTTATGGAATTTTCCATTTGTAACTGAAACCACAGTAAACAAAACCACAGATAAGGGGGGACTACTGTATTCTTTTGTGTAAATTTATTTTATTTACTGTTGGTGGACATCTGGGCTGTTTCCAGTTTTGGACTATTACAAGTAGTGCCGCTGTGACCGACATCCTGGGACATGTCTTTTGATGCTCAGATGCATGTATTTCTAGAGTGGAATTGCTGGGTCGCATGGTGTGTATGTGTTCAGCTTTAGTAATACTGACAAACAGCTTTCCCAAGTAGTTGTACCAATCCATACCCCCTCCAACAGTGTGTGGAGGTTCCCATTGTTCTGTATCCACTTGCTAAAGCCAGCCTTTTAAACTTTAGCTAGCCCAGCCGGGTGTGGCTCAGCAGTTGAGCATCAACCTAGGATCCAGGAGATCAGGGTTTGATTCCCAGTCAGGGCACTTGCCCAGGTTGCGGGCTGCAGCTGATCAATGACTCTCTCATCATTGATGTTTCTATCTCTCTCTCCCCCTCTCCTTTCCTCTCTCTGAAATCAATAAAGATATATTTTTTTAAGAAAATTTAGCTATTCTAGTGAGTGTAGGTTTCATTATGGTTTGAATTTTAATTTCCCCTATAACTAATGGGATAAGTACCTTTCATTTTTATTGGACAATTACATAGCTGCTTTGGTGGTTTTCTCCTGGCTCATTTCTTTTTAAATTGATTTGTCAGAGTTCATTTTATATGTCGACTATGAGCCCTTTGTTGAGTATATGGGCTGTGCTAATAAGAATGGTTTGAGCCATAGGGGTCTTTTGGAGGTACTAATTTGTCATGGGTCTCCCAGGACTGCAATAGTCAGGAAGCCCATTAGGGCCCCACCTGTTCTGTGTGTCCAAAAATACTCTATCTGTGGTGAATCGGGACCTAACCTGATCCACCACAATATAGACCTAGTTCTTTACCCAGTAACTAGACCACCAGATGAAGGAAGAACCCTGCAATCACATTATATATCTCACTGTAAGTCTTCTTTCTAGAATTTGTCAAGGAGTCTTGTGAGCTGTGTAACTGCAGTGAGGAAAGAAATACCCAGACCTTCCTGGAATTACTGGGGACCCAGTAATCCCCAGGGACCCAGAGTTCCACTTCGGTCCACTGAGCAGAGCCAAAGCTTGTAGTAGTCACGAGATATGTAGAACCTAGGAGGCAGGAGGTAACATCATGCTTTATAAAATATGTGTTGGAATATGGGAGATAAATCCTGTGAAAACACAGAGCCTTGAATATCCATGAAATTTCTGGGAATGCAGTAGTGGGGAGAGTGTTGGGATGTCCTGTCAAAGTGAAAGAGAATTCTCACACTGTGGTGGTAGGAAAAGCTAAACATACAAAAACTCTTGAATCCAGCAATTCTACCCAAGAGATATGATACTTGTGTCCACCAAAGGATAGTAGTCAAAACCTGGAAACAATCCAAAAGCCCATCGACAGAATAATGAATAAACACATTATACTATATTCTTATAACTGGATATTGTATATGTGTGTTGCTCTTATAGTAATGAGAAAAGAGATCGTCTTTCTACACACACACACACACACACACACACAAAGATGCGTAAGTTGCTATACTTTGCACCCTTTGTCCCTGAAAAAGAGATGCAGCGCATGGTGGGCCTCTGCATTCGGAGCCCACGGTGGCCACGTGTGAATGTGCTGCTCTGACCTATTTACCAGGACCAGAAGAGCAGTGGGCTTTGAGGGTCATCCAGGGCAGCGGGACACCAAAGGAGATCTCGCTGTAAGGCAGGCAGCTCTGCCTTTTAGGCCTTAGGACCCAGGGGTCCTCTCATGCCCAAGATGTCCACAGCCGATCAGAACGCTGAGGGGACCTGTGGCCAGCTCCAATGGGGTCTCCCATCAGAAGTCCCTAGGGTTTCAGAACAAAGCTAGAACTCTTTTTGACAAATCACTAGCTCCTTTTGAAAACAACTTTCCTTGTCCCGGCCCCGTTAGAGACTGCCTGCGTATCAGCTTATTCTATATCATAAGCCACCCCAAACCTTAGTGATCTGAGACAATAAATACTTATTACTGCCCATGAGACCATGGGTCAGCTGGATGGTGCTGCTCTTGGTGGGGCTCATTCAGGCGTGTGTGGTCAGCTGTGGGGTAGACAAGCTGCTCAGGCAGACTGACTCTTCCTGAACTCATGCTCCTTCCAGTTCATGA